GCCCCCGCACCGCCGCCTCCCGCCGCTCCGGGCATCCTCATCGGCGACCGGCTCTACTCCGAGGTGTCGCTGACCATCGACCACTCGCTGATCCCCGAGGAGCGGCTCTCACCCACCCCGTCTATGCAGGACGGGCTGGACCTGCAATGCGAGACCGACCTGCGCATCCTGGGCTGCGAGCTCATCCAGGCGGCCGGCATCCTGCTGCGGCTGCCGCAGGTGAGCGCTTCTCGGGCGGAGAAGGGAAGGGAAGGGAAGGGAAGGGCGGGCGCCGCCATTGTGGCGGCGGGAAGGGCGTGAGGCGGCGCGGGGGGGGCGGCGGTGGCGGTGCCTCACACAAAATGGCGGCGCTGGGCCAGGTCACTGACTCGGCTCCTTCTCCCTCCTCCTGCTCTGCCCTCACAGGTGGCCATGGCGACGGGGCAGGTKCTGTTCCATCGGTTCTTCTACTCCAAGTCCTTCGTCAAGCACAGCTTCGAGGTGAGCGCGGCCCGGGGCCACCGGGAGAGGGCGGACGGGGCGGCCACGCGCCGCATGGGCCGCTCGCTTCGAGCCTGGCGGATTTGCTTCTTAGTTACGTAATTGTCGTTTGATCTGGGTTAAAAACCATTTGCTTAACGGAAACGGGGCTTCTTTTCAGATTGTTGCTATGGCCTGCATCAATCTCGCGTCAAAAATCGAAGAGGCGCCTCGCCGGATAAGGGACGTGATCAACGTGTTCCATCACTTGCGGCAGTTAAGAGCAAAAAGGTAAGATCAGCTTCGTTATGAGCATRAGCACCTGTTACCACTAATGTACGCTGCAGTTCTCAATTCACAGTATTTTTCCAGGCTAAGTTCAACGACCTAAAATTGAGAAGGGAGTGCCCGTTGGCTGCTGTGTAGGCAGTACAGTGCAATCCCGGCTGCTTCTGCTTTTGTTCACTTGGTAGACCTGTTTTTGTTGTTGATTTAGCAACAAGTCACAAGTATTGGTTCTAATTTTAGGTCCACGGTTGTAGTTTCAGGTCTGTTTGTTGGTTTTTTGGTGTCTTGTAGTTACTGGAAGGTAGCTGTAGGGATGAGTATCCAGTTAGCGAGTTGCTGTGTATTCAATTTTTTAATCATACTCAGTAGCCCTGGTGCTTTTTTCTTGTTATTCTGTGGCTGTCCAGTTGTGGTTGTGGTGCTAAGAAAGTGTCTGTTAAGAGGAAGCTGAACTTTTAGTGGTGACAATGTTCACTTCTAGAAAAAGCTGTTTTAGAAAGTTCCTGAGGGAAGGTCTGATTTGACCTGCAGTGTTTTTARTTTTAATGTTGAGGAGTGTGCAGTTGAGGCTGTGAGGCTGAAGGCATCTTTAGGTGCAAAAAGTGAGACTTGTGTCRTTCTGGTGCCTGTGCAGGCAGTGTAAAGCTGTTGTAGAGTTGTGAGTATGTAATGCTGCTTCTGTATGCAAAGCAACATTTTTCACGTTTMAAGCAAATTAACGATATACGGAAAGGAGGAAGGAGTGAGTGGTTGAAGGGAAGGAGTTCTCCAAGTTGCTGTTAAACACAAAATCTCCTTAATTGTGTCAGGCAGCAGTATCACAGTCTGGGATGGAAGGCTTCAGCTTTGCTTCTGCTGGCTGATTGCTTAAAGTTTCAAGTGCTCTGTAGTTACAAAAGGATTTTGTTTTTAGCTACACTATTAAATTCACACTTTATTTCTCTGGCCTATGTCACCAGGTTATGGCAGGAATTTAAACTTCAGTGTTGTGCCAGCTTTTCTGAGGAACAGAGTAGAAATCCCTTAGGGAAGCTAGCTGTTTGTTGTATCTTTACTCTGGTTATGCTTCTGTTGAAACCAGAACTTTGGCTTTTTTGGCTTTTGTCTCCTGATGGTGTTTTCTGAGTTAGTTTTAGATCCAGGAAGAAAGAGTCGGAATTACACGTTGGAATTCAGCTTTGTTCTGTGCAGCTTTTAAAGCTGTTATCCCTGACAGTCCTGAGAGAGCTCTGTGAAGTTATGCCGGGTGTGAATTCAGTGGGGTTGTCTTCCACAGTTGTAAGGGAGTCTGGTTATTGGAATTACTGGAGCAGRCTCAGTGATTAGTAGCGTTCTGGCCTTTGTCCAGGCAGTGAAGGTTAATTAATCATATGCCTCGCTTTTCTTTGCAACGAGAATACAAATTAGTTGTTTCTTTGTGCTGTGTGAAGAATCAGAGAAACTGAACTTAACCTGTGAATTTAAATCTTTTCAGCTAGCCCGTTCCAAATCCCAACTTGTGCATGTTACGTGGTGCCTAAAGTGCATCATGTCCAGAGAAAGCGTGCACTGCTACCCATTATTTTCGGGAGAAATGGGTATTGTTGCTCTGCGATTCTGAGTGAATCTGCATGAAATTAACCTTAAAAATGCTGCAGTCTGACATTCAGATTTGCACATCCCCTCCCCTTTTTTTTTTTTTAGCAAGCAGGATGTAAACGTTTTTCTGTACTTTTTACAAGCTGACAATTCAATCACCTGTACACGTTATTAACTTCAACTCTTTTTTCCCTTGCAACCGACTATACAGCGACCAGCTACATTTACCAAAGCCTGGGTGATGTGGAGTGGTACATAAAGATGAAGCTGTCGTCATGGCAACAGTGAGTGAAGTATCGAAAATCCCCAAGGAGAAGCCAGTGCTCTGAGCATAGGTCACTGGAATCGGGGGACTAACAGGTTGGCCGCTGGTGAACCATTTGGAAGAACTCCTGTATCTTGTTATAAGCTTTTTTCTTTGCTGTCCAGGTTTTTAGAATACTAGCTTAACCTTTTTTTTTTATTATTTTTTTACTGAAGCTAACATTTAGGCTGTAGTTAGTCTCTCACACACAATCCAGAACTGAAACAGGCTGCTGTACTTTCTTTTTTTAGTCTAGCATTTCTGTTAACTGAAGCTCTTAACCTGCACACGAATTTGGGGTAGTTTGGGTAGGCTTTGCTTTCTWTCTTAACCAGTTTTGGGTTCTTAGTTCCATTTCTGGCTCTGTATAATTGCAGTTTGAATTCACAGTAAAACAAGGGTGCAGAAGTCTTGAATTTGTAAATTTTTATCAATTAYGATGTAAGCAGTTCCTTCTATGTACCTGTTTGCAGAACTGGGAATTGCATTGGAATTTTGTTTTTATGAGACATGTAGCCAACTGAGGTGATATTTCTAATGCTGAGAAGTAAGAAAAAGCTAAATAAGTGTTTTGGACAAGAATATTTTCTTTGGGATCTTTGACGAGCATATGTGATGTAGAACTGCATGTAAAATGTTTGTGTGCATGGAGAAAAGCTCGTACTATGGAAAAACTGCTTTTTAAATAACTGTGTGCCAAACCCTCTGTGTTCTGAGCAAAGTGCAACTGTTGTTTAACTTGTAGAATGTAGTTTGAAGTTGATTTTATTTCTTTTAACTGTGCCTGAAAGCTGCAGAAAGTCCTGAGACTGGAAATGTGACTCATGTCGTGCTGTAATCTCAYATGGTGCTTTGAGGTGCTCAGTCAGCTGTTCCTCACCCGGGGGCCCTGCAGTGGGGCTGCATTAATGACACACATTCTTAGTGCTCTTCAGACTGTCCTGCAAACCTGTGCTGCTTGTTTGTGATCCTGGAGACAAACAGAGAACTGGTGTTCTTTTATTGACCAGCATAACAGATCTCTGCTCTTTATAATGAGGTTCTGATGCTCTGTTGTACTTGTCAGAAGTGCTTTGCTCATTATAAGCAAAACTCCATGCAGGGCACTGCTCCTCCAAAATATTGGTCATGCCAGAGACATCAGAGTTTAATATTGCACCAAATGAATCTGCAGCTCTGTGGAGAACTTAGGTCTTGTTTGTCAGAGTGATTTTAAAAAAAGGGTATTTGTGATTTATTTATTGTTACAAACACATTACAGTGTGTGTTAATCTTCTGGGTTGTTACACAATCTAAATCCCAATCAAGTTGTGTATCTCAAGTGTTGGATTGACTTCCCAGAGGGGACACTGTGTGCTCTGTTCTGAAAGATAAAGTTTTGCTTAGAGCTCTAGTGCTGGTCTGTAGGAACAAATTCCAAGTCAGAACTTGCAACACTCCTTGGCTATACAGGGTTTGAAGCTTATGTTTCATATATAAGCTTTTAAATTGTTTGGTTTGTTACTTGGCCCCAMGATAAATCTTGGATTGAGAATTAAATGCAGCACATGCAGTAGCAAAGTTCCTATTTTTTCTTAATAGAAAACAAAGGATGTTTTTCAAAGGGGAATCTATGAAGTTCCTGACTTTTAAATAATTTGTTTACCAACATTGCAGAGTTTATGGCAAAAGTGTTAAGTTGGTGAATCAATACAGTGGAGAACCTGACTTTTGCCAGTAATAAGGTGSAGTAAAACACTCAAGTCTTACACAGGTTTTTATTTTTCCATAAGTGGATAAAAGGCTGCATTTGTCTGGAGATACTGTCTGGATAAACGGATGTTTTTCATGCTTCCTTAGGGCTGTAGGTCTCTAGACCTTGTCACCAAAGTAGCATGGGACAGCAGAGTAAAGCAAGGCACACTTGGTGTGTTGGGTTTCCTGTCCCTGCACYGTAGAACATGTGCCAAGTGTGAACTGTTGGTGCTGATCCCATGGCCCTGTGCAAGGACAGTAAAAATTTAAAATACAAATTTRAAAGTAAAGGCCTACAGCTGTCCTGCTGCACTTGGAGCCACCTTAACTTGCTTACAGAGCTCTCAGGGAATGCAGGGACATATGGAAGGTGAGGACACTGAATTTCCAGTCGTGTTGTCCCACTGGAGATTTTTTTTTAATGGACTGGAAATCATGGTGGTCCTTAGAGTTCAACCCAAGATCTCCCACCTGTGATGAAGCTTTCTGCTAACAAACAGCCTGGACACCCGAATTCACTCTGGATGGTGTTTTGCAGATCCTGTTAATGGCAGGGATCTTGAGATGAAATTGTGGGAAGCAGTATTGGAGGAAATGTTATCAGCACCACCAGTAAAATCAATGGGAATTCATTTGAAGTGAATGGGTTTCACTGATTGGAAGAACTCAGCTTGGTTTTTTCATTGTTCCACTCCAGAGCATTGTGTTCAGCCTGTCTCTGTATTGCAGGAGTGTTCAGACAAAATCAGCTTCTCATTCAAGCAGTTACCTTAAAGAGGCTTGGAAAGCTTTTCTTTTCCAGTTAATTTATGGGGAGAAAAGAAAAACAACSAACTATAAACAACAAAAAAATCCCMCAATTCTGGGTTTATTTMRAAAAGCTGAAATGACRGACTTTCTAAACTTGCCCTAATGAGTGAGAGTAACACTTAACTAGAGAAGTTACTCTGTTGGAACATGGAAAACRTGGCATTTTGTGTGGTAAGACAGTATTTGAATTGTAGGTCCATCCTGGCAGCAGGAAACTGCAGTCGTTCATTGCAGAGCTGGGAGCTGCCTCATCCCCTTGGCAAGAGCAGGGAGCTCATGCTTCAAGTGCATGGTTACACAACAAGATGCTTGTATTAGAGAAGTCTGTTGTGTCTTTTACCCATGGCAAAAGGGTTACCCTGCCTGCAGAGGTGGCATAAACGGGATTGTTGAAGTTGGGAAGCACATCCAGCCATGTCATTCAATTGACTCTTTCTTCCTGGGGTGGGCACCTTGGAGTTTTGGTGTTCTTTCTGCTCTKTGACCCATCAGGGAAGAGAAGTGAGATCCACTCATGGAATTTGCAAAGTGGCAGTGGAATATTTTGTCTGATACAACAAAAACTGTATTTTGAATCCACTTTTTTTCTTTCAAAGGTAATGTAAAATAAATTTRTCACCAGTGCTTGGGGTGTATCCTGTACACACACTGGCTTATTAGAGCGTAACGAGCTGCAAAAACATTATTCTGCTTTGGAAAGCACATGGAATGTGTGAGGCATATTACAGGGAAAAAGCTGGTCTGTCTTCAGGAGGAAGTGGATTAAAATATCCCATGTGGAATGTTGAAAGGTCAAGTCTGAGCATGGACAAAGCAAAAAATAYGCATAAACTTGTGCATTAAATGTACAGCAAGTTACTGTGGTTAAACATGCTCTGGGCAGTTTAGAGGTTCAGAGGATTTTAAAGGAATTAGGACTTGACAGTGCTGGAGTTTCAACTCTTTTCTCTCTGAAATGAGCTGTTTTGCAAATGCAAACAGCAGCAGGAACAYCCGTGGTACCACTGGAGAGAGGTGCAGGCCCAGAGTCCCAGGCAGATCTGTCTCCATTTCCCAGGGTTATTCTGTGCATCACTCAGCTTYTCACACATCACAGAGTCAGGGCTGCCTTCTTCTCTGAAGGGTGAATCATCTGCTCTTGCAGTGCATAGGAAACTGCATTTCTAGAGCACGAGTTGCTACTTTAATACCAGTGAAACCCTGGTCTGGCTAACTTCTGCTTAGAAATCCTGCCTGGCAAAGGACTCCTGCCACCTCTGCCACGGAGAGGAGAAGTTCTTGGGAATGTCCCCATCAAGCCAACTCCTTCCAGCAGCTGGAGCAATGCAGTTTGCATACACAGGAGCAGAAGGTTATTTTTTTTTATCTCAGCCATCTAATCTATAGCTAGCCAAAAGCAGCAACTAAACTAGTTTATCTAAACTTGGACAGCACAAGATTAATGCTTAAACTTGCTTGCAGGAGTTGAAAACCGGTTTCTGTTGCCATTAGTTGGTTGGAAGGGAAAACAGAGTTGCCATTGTTTTTGGATATGCAAAACAGTTTTGATTTTATTTCTTGCAAACTATAGGACTCCAAGCCCCCTGATACTTGATCAGAACTACATAAACACCAAAAATCAAGTAATCAAAGCAGAAAGGAGGGTACTGAAGGAGTTGGGATTTTGTGTTCATGTCAAGCATCCTCATAAGGTGAGTTCTCAACAGTAATCTTACTGTAATTCTTACTCTRCCTTGGTGGCATCATTGGGAGCTGTGGAACAAGGAACACAGGTGTCAGAATGACCTGCATTCTTCTTTATTCCTGTGTAGTTATAAATGTTTTTGCCAAAGTACTTGGGCAAACAGCCATATTGACTGTGGTAGAAGTCACTTCCCCAGGAAAGGTTAAAAGTGGCTGGTTTGAAAAGCATGGAAAAGCAGTGCAATGAAGAATTGTCTGAATATGATTGGATGCTATGAGAGCTTAGAGTGTGTGCTTGGAAAGAAGCTGCCGTTGTTTGGGAATACTGTTCACCTTCATTTTTACATATATCTGTATATATATACTTTCTTGCTCTTGCTTTATGTGTTTAAACTGAGTAATTTTTCTCTTTYCCCCCCTCCTTGTTCCTCAGATCATTGTTATGTATTTACAAGTCCTAGAATGTGAACGTAATCAAACCCTGGTACAAACAGCCTGGTAAGTTGCTATTTTCCATTCTTTTCCTAGCCAGGAAAATAGTAGCAGAAATAACAAGCCTGGTGATCCCTATGCAAAGCAATGAGATGTAAGTTRCTGCCCAAACACATTTGGAAAATCCTGTGGTGCTTGTTTCTGCTTACTATTTTCATGGCTTGATTGCAGCGTAGCGATGGAGAACTCAATTTAACTTTGTTCTTTTTTCTACTCTTTGATTGAAGGGTAGTCCCTGCTGGTAAGTCATAGAGCTCTGCCCTCTGCACCTCAGCCCATGACCTGGGGATGGCTGCTTTGGCTGCCCTTCTCTCCAGCCAACCCAGTGCAAGCCTCAGCCGAATTCGCTGCCGTCACCCAAAGCCATCGGGCAGCACCTCCTAGTTCTGTCCAGCTGGCACAAGGATTTGTATATTTGGTTCTAGAAGTAACTGTTACAACTGTTTCTCCATGTCTTCGTTGCCTACCTGCTGTATGTGAAAGGACACGTGGGGGACAATTCTGCCAGCATTTCAGTAGCTGCTTGAACATTCAACTTGAGTTGARCAGGATGACAGTGCATGCAGCATGTTCACTTAGCAGCCAGGCTGGGCATGGGGGTGTCAAGTCCACACTGACTGCTGTTGTCTCTCCCATGGCTTGGGAATTCCAAAATCCATGGAGCTCTGCTGTTTACAGTATCTCTGGGCATGTGTTGCTTGGCAGTGCCAGTCCTGTGCAAGGACAGGAGCTCGGGGAGTGGGACCCAGCTCTAACTCACAGGTCTTCTTCCAACATTCTGTGAGCAAATGGGGTGCATCTCTCTGGGTAAAGTTAATGTGACTCAAAGCACACAAAATGSAAATGCAATCAAGAGTTTTATGAACTCTTTTGGTTGCACGTAGCTTCTGGAAATTGGGAGGTTGAAAACACACCTTGCTCTCCTGATGGCCCTCTACATTTTTAAGTACAAAATGATTGGTGTTTAAGACAAACAGCTGGACAGATGCAAAGTAGTTGGTAAATTTGTAATGCAGTGGACACTTCCCAGGATAACTTAACCTAGGAAGTAGCCATTCCACATTGCTTGGATTTACAGCTTCACATTACTGCCTGGGGTTCAAAACAGTGGCAGTGGTGAAAACTGTTAGAGTGACTCATGTAAGCATCCAACACCATCTGAAAGAAATCCCATGTTTAACATAACAACAGAAAAAATAATAAAGTCAATTGAGTCTCCAGTATTGTTATCCTCTAAAGAAGAAAAGCAGATTGGAGAGCCAACCTTTGCTGCTTTGTTTTTTAGGAATTACATGAACGACAGCCTCCGGACGAACGTGTTYGTTCGCTTCCAGCCGGAGACCATCGCGTGTGCGTGCATTTACCTCGCTGCTCGAGCCCTGCAGGTGAGCACTGACTGCACTGAGCAGTGCCTTCCACTTCTGCAGCTCTGGTTTTGAGCAAATTCATGGGAATACGGAAACAAAACCTGGCCTGAACTCTCCATTAASCTTCTCCTTGTTTGATTTTCAGATCCCCCTTCCTACTCGGCCCCACTGGTTCCTGCTCTTTGGCACCACGGAAGAGGAGATTCAGGAGATCTGCTTAACAACRCTGAAGCTTTATACCAGAAAGAAAGTGAGTTTGACATGTTGGTGTTTCATGCTTGATGCTCAGTGCAGCTTGAGCTGAGTTATGGCTGTCCAAAGTCTGGGAATGCCTRCATACAAATGTACCAATGGGAAAGGCTCCTCTAAGGAGAGAACAAATTCTGGAAGTTACATTACTGGACAGATGATTAAAAGCCAACTCAGTATTTTTCAGAAATGAAAATATAAGTTACATTAGTTCAGCTTCTTACCTCGTTCCTTCCACAGCCCAATTATGAATTYCTGGATAAAGAGGTAGAAAAGAGGAAAATGGCACTACAGGAAGCAAAACTGAAGGCAAAAGGTTTAAATCCAGATGGAACTCCAGCRCTCTCAACACTGGGTGGCTTTTCTCCTGCATCCAAACCATGTAAGTTTGTTTTCTGAACAGACATTTGTATAGTGTGATAARTATTTGTGTAAAAATAAAACGGGTTTGCTTTGTGAGCTGTTCAACAGTTCAGGCTCTTTTAGAATGAAGCAGCAAGGTAAATATATGTTCATTTTATAACATAGATTTAAAGCCAGTCTCAAAACCAGATTAGAGGGAAAAGGAATACTTTATTCCATATTTCCACAGGTAAGAGAGTGATATATTAATAATATGCACCCTTAAGAGAATGAGGTAATRAGGCAGGAGTTACTGTATGTTGCTGTGGTATCAAGAGAGGCTTTCTGTATTTCATTTGAGTRCTGCAGCAGTAGCCTTCATGGCCCCTTTTGCAGCAGGTACCTGTGAAAATGCCTTTCCCTGGTTGATTTTTATGTACTTGGCATCTGTTCAGGGCCGACAGCTGGTGGTCAGGAAATGGGGGAAGGAGAGGCCCAGCACTGCTTTGGCATCACAGGGAGTGAGTTGGAAYGTGTATTTTGAACTGACCAGTCTGTCTGAACTCTCATGGTTTCTCCTGAAGAATGTTGAGTTTTCAGAGGTCTTTGGGCTGGGAAGTGTGAATTCCTCATTGAAACAAGGAAAGTGTTTCATTTCTGCAAGGAGGAAGCTGAGGTTGGAAGAGTTTGAAAGCAGGAGCTGTGGTGGGTTTAGAAGCCCCCCAGAGAAATCTGTCTCTGGGCTATACCAACTGTCTGTAGAGACAGATTAACTTCTTAACTAGATAATGGTGTTTGGTACTCATTTATATTTGTGCCATTAAGGTAAAGATTAAATCTGTGATTTTGCTGGGCAGTCTTAATCCTTTCTCTAGCCCTGGGAATGAATGTCAAGGTAACAAGCTGTGTATTGTGAGGCATGGGGACAGCTTTTATTTTGTACCTTTTGGCCCCGTGTAGATGAGATTATTGCAGGTGAGCCTGGCTGTGTGTGCTCTGAAGCCTCCTTCATGTGCAGAGGGTTTCCCTGTGGGTATCCCTTTGCAGGAATGAATAGAAACAAAGAGATGGGATGCAATAATGTCTGTAGAGTTCATCTCTACACTTAGTGCAAATCCTGGGGAGCATGTCTAAGGGGTGTATGGTGTGTTTATTACAAAGGATGAATAAATGGCTAATCTTCAATTTAAATTTATTTGTTAGCTTCCCCAAGAGAAGTAAAAGCTGAGGAAAAATCTCCMGTGTCTGTGAATACCAAAACTGTTAAAAAAGAGCCAGAAGAGAGGCAGCAAACCTCCAAGAGCCCTTACAATGGGTAGGTAAAACTCTCCTGATAGGAGAACACTTGAGTGGAAATGCTTTCACTAAGCACAGGGAGCTCCTCCCTGGTGGAACAGGTGCCTGAGCAGTGTTTTCTGTGCCCCCAAGGCTGAGGAAGGAGAGCAAGAGGAGCCGGAGCAGCAGAAGCGCCAGTCGGTCCCGCTCCCGGACAAAGTCACGCTCCCGCTCCCACACTCCCCGCAGGCAGTGAGTGGGGCTGSATGGGGGGTTGGGGGTTTGTCATATTCAGCTCTAAATAGGGGATATTTCAGCAGGGCTTTGCACTTCCAAGAGCCAAGGGCACTCCTGAGTGCTGGCTAGTGAAAGTGGGAGGATTAGTGATCTGGTGTTGAGGGAAGAGCCTTAACCAGGTGGAGAAATAACAAAAGCTGCTGCATTCTGCTTTCAGTTTGGGCTGTTTGTTTTCAAATGAGCTCAGCTGAGAGACTCTCAGAGTGGTCAGGGTTGGAAGGACCTTAAATCCCACGTGGCTGACCCCAGCTTTCCATGGGGCAGGTTGTGTSTTCTGAGACATTCACTGCCCTTCCTCACTTAGCCCTGGGCCACAAAGTGTGATTTATTCCAGTAAGTGGGAAGCTCCAAGCAGTGATTTCTGTGTGATTCTCCAGTGTGGGGGCACGCTGTAACTGTTCCTTTCCTGCAGCTACAACAACCGGCGCAGCCTGTCGGGCACCTACAGCTCCCGCTCGCGGAGCCGCTCGCGCAGCCACAGCGGGAGCCCCCGGCGGCACCACAACCACGGCTCGCCCCACGCCAAGGCCAAGCACGGCCGCGAGGAGCTCAAGGGCGCCAACAGRCACGGCCACAAGCGGAAAAAGTCGCGCTCCCGCTCGCAGAGCAAATCCCGGGAGCACTCGGAGGCGGCCAAGAAGCACCGGCACGAGCGGAGCCACCACCGGGAGCGGCGCGAGCGCTCGCGCTCCTTCGAGAGGTCCCACAAGGGGAAGCACCACGGCAGCGGCCGCTCGGGGCACGGCCGGCACCGGCGCTGAGCCCGGGGCTGCACGGCCCTGGGAGCCACGGACTGCGGGCACGGCACCGGGCTGGGCTCGGCTGCATCACTGCGGCCTCCAGCCTGCTTTCTGAAAGGTGTAGAAGACTTTTTTTCTTTTGGGAAAGAAAACTGTTACCAACTTTTGCACATAATACCTTAGCAGTATCCCAGAGGTGGCAAACGATCAGGTTCACTGTATGTATTGGAGTTGTGTATTGTTTATTGAGCTGAGAACTGGAGAAAGGATTTCTGTAAAAAAAGCAAAACGTACCTTATTTTTATACCAGTCAATTGCAGACGCTTATATTTAAGTATAGTTATTTGTTTAAACATGGTGGAGACTTTCTTACACTGGTTTTAGTCTGCATGTGTTCAAAGATTTTTACAAGAAATAAAATATAAAGCTTTTTTTTTTTACTGCCTGTTGGATGCCAAATGTATGGAAACTAAACTTGGTTTTCTTACACGCCGTGACTTTGACCCTTGTGCCTGAGTGGGACACGGGGTGGATGTGCTGCTGTGGGGAGGGGAAATGGAACACTCTGGGTGTTTGTGTCCTTTGGGGTGCAGCTGGGGAGCCACAGCAGTTGGGAGTAAATGGTCATGGAGCTCTGAGTTCAGTGGGCTGGGCCATGGTGGGCTGCTGCTGTCCCCTGGGATGTTTGAGAGTCCCCCAGCCCTCCCTTTGGAGCTGCTCCCGGCTGGTTCAGGTAACTCATGGAGGATTCATTTCCATCTTCCCTTCCTGGTGGGGGGATGCTGCAGGGGGAAGGGGATTCTCCTGCAGGTGTGATGCTGACCCAGCTCTGGAAGCCCAGACATTCCCTGTGCTGTGTGTGCAGCTCCTGGAGCTGTGCCTGCTCCGGGAAGGGAGAGCTGAAAGGGGAGAGGAGTTGGATTCTTGAGCTGCTGCTCATTCTGGAGCCTGCAGGTGAGCAGTGTGAGCTGTCTCTGCTCACCTGGAGCCCCTGGGCTGTCCCAAAATGCTCTCCCCATTCCTGCTGGGGTTGGGGCTGAGGCTGGAGCATTTCCCTGCAGAGCCAGGAGCTGCTGCAGTGCCCATCCCTGCCGGGCCCGGTGCTCTGCAGAGCTTGGAAAGGAGAGGAAAGCTCAGCAGAAGCCCCAGGGTCTGGTACCTCCCTCCCCGTGTCCTGCTGGGCCCCACTGCGGCTCCTGGAAATACAGAACGTCGATATGCATTTTTTAAGAGGAGGAGAAGGTAAAGTTTCTGTTTCCTGGTTACCGTTGTGTTTTTCAATCCCTAACAACTGGTTTGTGTGTGTTGCTTTCAGGGAAATCTGTTCGTTGCTATGGAAATCGAAGGAGCWTTTTCCCCCAGATCCAAGGGCTCAGATAGTCCCGGGCAGAGAAAATCGTGGATTTGGAGGAGCAGCACCACTGACAGCGTTGGATGTGGGGTTTGTGTTGGAGCGACCCGGGGAGAGCTCAGTCCTGGGTTTGTGTGAACAGCACCCAGCGCTTCCCTTCCTTCCTGTGCAGCTGGAGCAGCAGGACACCCCCTGCTCCCCAGGAACCAGCTCCGGGGAGCTCAGGGTTTGTTCTTCAGGGGGAAAATCCTTTCCCCAGCCAGGGACAGTGGTGGCTGCGGCCACACGGGGGCTGTGCCAGCACTGGGATGTGCCAGAGCCGCTCCGGTGGGAAAAGCAGCAGATTCCAGTGGGGTCCAGGCTGGGCCCTGAGTCTGTGTGGGTCCAGCAGGTGCACAAAGGGGCAGGAGAAAGTCCCGAGCAGCCCCTCAGTGCCCATTCCCTGCAGGACGTGCCAGGAGCTGCTGGACACAGCAACAAATATCGCTGCACCACAGCTCCTGACACTGCTAAGACACTGTCCCTGACTTCTGAAGTGTCCCTGTGTTTTCGTGGAGCTCTGAATCACAAAAATGTATAATTGGACAGGGCTGATTACTTCAAGCACCTGAATCGACCTCCAGGAGTCACTTGAGGCTGCACTCAGCTCTTYTCTCACCAGCCAAGACAATTTTCCAGGGAAATGTGGAGTATTCCTGCCCTGGGTGGTGCTGCTGACACACAGCACTGAGAATCAGGAGCTGAGAACAGCTGAGAGCCACAGGGACAGGGAAATGTCCCAGCTGGTTCTTCTTGGGCACAGGGCGGGACTCACCCTCAGAGTTGCTTTTCCTCTGAAAAAGGGATTTCATTTAAATCCTTCTGCTAATTTTTGTTTGGATTTCCTCTAAACTGTTCTGTTTGTCCTTAACTTTCAGCTTTGTCACAGATGTTGGAAGGATGAGCGTGGACCAGGAGCTCTGGATGGTTCAGGAAGGGAAAGAAGTGAACAGTTGAGAAGATTCTTGATGGAAATTGGCCCAACRGGTCCCTGTCATGGCTTCAGCCACCCCCAAGCCCACAGGTGAGTGGCAGCAGGTGAGGTGATGGGGCCCTTTTCCAGGAAATCCTTCCCTGGTTGCTGCTCCTGCCAGGAAATGCTCATGAATCCCTGATTTCACATCAGGCCAAGCCCGTGACTCTCCTGTCTGTGCCCCCTGCTGCTTCCAAGCTCAGAAATCCAAGTTCTCCCTGTGTCCAGCTGGAGCAGGTGAATCCTGCTCATCCAGCTCATCCAGCTCCTGCTTCCATCACCCTCCCAGGRGGTGCTGGGGTTACTTTTAGAAGGAATCCCCAAAAGCAGCCCCCAGATCCAGACATCAGCGAGCAGAGYGGAGCTGGCAGCACTTGGTTACACCCTCGGCCTGTAAATCCTGCTCCACATCCAACCCTCCCGACACCTTCCAGCTGCTCCCCAGGATCCTTTCTGGGGTCCTGCTCCCCAAAGGCCCACGTGGCTCTTTGTTGATTAAAATGACCACTGGGTCCTGGCGAGTTCAAACAAATCCTGCAGCCAGCACAGTGCGCAGGGAACAGCTGGGGAGGGACAGGGTGCTGGAGCGGATTCGGATTCCCAYAAAAGCCGATGATTCATGGAAATGTTCAATGAGCGGGGTCAGCCCCGGGCTCCTGAGGAGCTGCTTCCGACAGAGGCAAATCCGGAGCGGCCCCGCTCTGCCCTCAGTGCCCTCCCCCAGCTCCAGCCCCGAGGCAGAACAGCAGAGCTCCCAAAACACAGCCTGGGGGATGGGGGGATTTGTGTCACCCCTGTTTGCTACAGGGAAAGGTTGTTCAGCTGCCCTGGATGTGGGAAAAGGGATGGCAGGAGAGGGCAGTGCCCGGTTACAGAGCCTGGAGAGACAGGGAATGGGGGGTCACACTGCCAGAGGGCAGGGATGGATGGGATTTGGGGCAGGAATTATTCCCTGGGAGGGTTTGAGGCCCAGGGTGCCCAGAGCAGCTGTGGCTGCCCCTGGATCCCTGGCAGTGCCCAAGGCCAGGCTGGACATTGGGGCTGGAGCAGCCTGGGACAGTGGGAGGTGTCCCTGCCATGGCAGAGGTGGCACTGGGTGGGATTTAAGGTCCTTCAAGGGCAGCTGAGTCTGTGATGATGATGATGATGATGATGATGATGATGATGAAAGACATTTGGGCAGGACAGAGAGTGTGACCCTCCCCCAGGAAGAAGATCCTGCTGCATTCCGGGGATCTCCAGGCTCCTTCCCTCTGTGCCCACCAGGTTTCTGGGACTCTCTCCTGAGTTCAGAGCAGGTACATTCCAGCTGGGCACTGTTCCCTGCAGTGGTGTCAGGCCAAACCATTCCACTTTCCATGTCACAGAAACTGGGAGATGGAAAATTCCCTTTGGGTCACTGGGTTCAGCCACTCCTGCAGCRCAGGGCTGCTCCTGACAGGACATTTTCCATGGATTTTCCCCACCCCCTTGGAATGAGTCAAGCTCAGGGCTCCACCACTGCCCAGGATCCTCCCTGGCTGTGCAGCTCCAGGGAAGGGCATTTTCCTCTCACASGGAGCCTTTCCCAGCTGTCAGCCCTCTCCTCCCATCCTGGCCCCTCTGGGTTATTCCCCCATTTCCCTGACATTTCCCACCCTGGTTTCACTCCATGCCTGGCACCAGAGCCTGGGTCCTGCTGATCTCAGCCACATCCAGTGAAACTGGGGGTTGTCTGAGGAAGGAAATTTCCCCACTTTCATTATCCTGCTCTTGTTTGGGTATTGAAATTGCACAGTACAAAGACAGACAGACTGGTTTTTATTCTGATTAATACATTTTAATGACTTGTGGCACCAATTTCTGTTTCCATGCACTTTGCTAAGGAACTAAAATGCTTTTTCCTGCAGTCTCAATTTCTTTTGTAGAAAAACTCCATCTGCAAGGCACAGTCGGGATCCCAGATCCTACACACACCTCAGAGCAAGGTCTAGTGATCATCCCAGCTTTGGTTTGTGGTATCCCAGAGGGAATGCAGTGMTATCCATGGCAAGCTGTGCATGGTAAGTGCTAATCCCATCTCCAGGAGCAGGCGTGGGATGGACTCTCCATAACATTGTCTGGAGAATGGCACATTTTGGGCATTTTCAGGTGCAAAAAGGATGAGCCCCACTGAGGCACTGACTGACAGTGGCTTCTCTCTCATCCTGTCCCTCTTGCCCTGGGGGAAGGGATGGATCCCCCCGGCCCCCTTCTCCTGGCAGGGTTTGAGGGGTTTGGCCAGGCCATGGATCGTGTTTAGGACTGTCAGGAGCTCTCACTCTGGAGCAGGCAGCACCCCAGCTCTGTCAGGAGCAGAGTGAGGCCTTTCCCTCAGGGAAGGACAAGACAGCCCYGTGCCATGGGCTGTGCTCTCCAAGGGAAGGGCTGGAATGCTGCCCAGAACCAGCRGGGCAGGGTCCACAGGGACAGGTTTGTGCTAAGCCTGGAGCTTGGTTTGGCTTTGCCTCGTGTCACCAGTCCTGGAGTGCAAGGTCTCTGACACCACTCCTACAAGAAATATTCCCTTCAGGAAGTTTGATTTCCTAAAATTCCAGGGCTATATTGAGGTGTGCACGTCCTCCGTGGCACTTTGTGCTGCTGCCCTTCCTCCCACCGTGGAAAGCCCTTGATAAACTTTCCTTGACATGGAGAGAGTCATTCAATCGTTTTCAAAGCCAGYGAGAAAGGGTCCCTGACATTTCCATATTTTGTTTATTGCTTAGCAGCAGGAGCTCTGGGTTCTGGGAGGGAGGGGGAGAAGGGAAATATTTGTTCTGGGCTTGGTTTGGATCCAGGACCTGGCCACTCCCTCATGCCAGAGCCATGATCCTGTTCCCACTCCCGTTATTTTACGTGCTGTTCCTCCCTGGCTGCACTCCCCCTTTACTCCAGCTGCTGCCTCAGGACACAAACAGGGGCTTGTGGATCAGAGCCCAGCTTTGAAATCATGGAATCACAGAATCACARGCTGGTTTGGGTTGGAAGGGACCTCAAAGCTCATCCAGATCCACCTTCCCTAGCCCAGGCTGCTCCAAGCCCCATCCATCCTGCATTCT